CATTTTTTTTGAAGAAAATTCACTAAAAGAATAATTTCCATATATTATTACCATCATTTGTTAAAGAAACATCCTCTTAACACCAAAGTATATAGAACGATCATAATCTCAGAATAAAGGACAGTTCTCTAAATGGAATAAATGTGGTTTCATGAAAAATTCATAATGTTTTTTTAAAATTTTACTTCCGTCTTTTTCTTGCTACGGGTGGAGATATTATCCCAAACCAATACAGATCTATGGGCTAGCATTTGGGAACCACTCATATAATTAAACCCCTTTGACCTGAGGTTTCGTTTCTCTTTCCAGATCCATTCTCCACCCTTCCCCTACTCTGCTTTCCAGGCTCACTGGTCTCTCTGGACTTGTCATTCAGGGTCTCTTACCCTCTGGCTTTTTTGGGGCTCAGCCCAAGGGAGATACAGAAGAACCCAGGGTAAGAGAAGAGGAGGTCAGGCTATTTATTCCACTGGTCTGTCCACCATTAGGTCTGAGCACAGGTTAGCGGTGGTTCTTTCTCTCTAGGTGTCAGCTCACAGACATGGCCCTCTCCTCAAGCTCTCTTTCTAGATATTCTGCTATTATCTCTTCCCCTACCTCTCCCATTCAAGGGGAGGCAAAGATTACCTTCACTTCTTGGGAGTGCCCCGCCATCCTTTGTTCATGCCCTTAACTGTGCCCACAGGTTTGTATATAGTCCCTCCACTAAACTCCCCTCAATCACTCCATTGGAGTGATTGACTGTTTCCTGCTCAGATGTGCCCAATACATGCCTCATTTAAAGATGAGAAATTGAGGGCCGAAGAAGTGAAACCCAGAAGTCACACAGCCCAAGGGATGTGGTCAGGTCCAGAATGTGGCCTTCCAGATTACAAGCAGTGCTGTGCTTAGTCAGTGCTCATCTGACATCCTCCCAATGTCGATCTCCCTCACAGGCATATTGATAGGCACTTTCTAGAACCTTCTTTCCCCTGGACTTTGACAAGAGTTGTAGTGTGTTCAATTTTGAATAAAAAATATCATATTAGCAGACTGTTTAGGCAATTCCAACACAGAGGAATACTGTTTCCATTAGAATGGATTGAAATCAGGAAAAATTGAGTTTTTTAAACGGTTGCCTAAATAGAAACTGGCAATTTAGCCTAAGATACTGTTGCAAAAGTTAAGCACAAAAGGACATGAGAGTGATGAAATTTCCACTGTAAGATGAATTCTGATCACCAAACAGGGGGGGTAGGGATAACATAAACTGTACAGAGTAAGGGGCTGAGGTGGGAGGCTACGGAAAAACTTTCATCAGCATGAGAGATATGAGCAGGTTATAGAAAGGTAAAGAAGTTTAGAGCCTTCAGTGCTGGTCAAGCAGGGGGAAAGCATAGAAGAGACATCGAGCATGAAGCTTGACCATTGCAAAATGTGTTGAAAGCATGTTTTATCTGGCATGAAGTGACTGAACCACTGGGCAGGAGCTGCTGCTGGATCCCTGTACATTCGAAGTTTCAGAATGCTGGAAACATTTAATCGTCTTAAACTGACCCACGTCAAAACGCTCTTCTGTGAAGGTGCTATTTGCTATCATCACACCTTTATTTAGCAATCTTACTTTTAAACAAATGCACACGCACATATTTAGCACATTAACTTTGTTCTAATTGCATACTTGAATTTCCCGCTACTATCGTTTGATCACTTGCTGTAACAAAAGTGCCGCAATGGGGACATCCTTTTACTAGGGTTTAAAAATAAGCTAGAAAGTTTTAATATCAAATGATTCTCTTTAAAGAAGTTGGGGCAATGGAATTACTAATAATAACATGAACTGAGCATTTCTAAGTAGTTACCTGCTTTAGCTTACTTAGTCTTCAGGACAACCCTGCCATCATCACCCAAGTCATGGCCACCTCCTGGCTTTCTGCTACTCAAGCTTGTACCTGGCCTTTGGCGAGCAGAATTTCCCTAGGGCTCTGACCCGTGCCAGCATCCCAGGCTGGATACATGGAAAGGATTGCTCAAAGAAGCCTATCAGCAGAGGGGAGTGCTCCCCTGGTGCAACCACTTTCTTTGATGGCTGAGCCTTCAATCCATCAACAGCTACTTACTGGGCTCCTACTAAATGCTCAGCGCTGTTCAGGCAGGACCCTTTCTACCTGTGTTGCACGTGGATTCAGAGGCAGGGGGTGGATCTGGGTCAGAGACTTTGAACCAGTCCCGAAGAGTGGAAGGAGTTTGTATGGCTGAGGAAGAAGGGTAAGGTCATCATAAGACAAAGAAATACTGACTTAAAAGTAAGGAAGGGGACAATAAAAAGATGCTGAGATGGGTTAGTGTCATCGAGAAAATTTAAGTTAGATAAAAAGAATAGATTTTCCTCCAGATCCTCAAATGAGGACCCTGGACAACTAAACAATAATTGACTCACAATTTTGAATAAGATTTGTCAATTAGCAAACTGTCAACTTTAACACGCATGTGTAAGACTCTAGTGTCTTTATTGTAGCCAAAAAGTTTAATTTGAATTCTTAATTTGTAGCATTCTTTTAGTTTACTCATCTTGGTTATCTTAGTTACCTGTACTTAGATGACTGGATTGATATTTAGGTAGAAGTTTTTAAGACAAAAAGTAGAAGTTCAACTGGAACTCCCATTGAATTGCTGGAATTTACCACTCGAAAATCCACAGACAGGATCAAAACCCAAACAGCTGTATAAATCATATATTTTCAACATGTGATAGCATTTAACAGACTTTTGATTAGTATAATTCACTCATCAATTACTTTAACTACCAAGACAGTTTTATGTTCATAATAAACGTAAGTGGCTTTATGTGGGGGTGTGGCCACATGTGCCTGAAGCAGAATGAACTTTATGGTAGAAGTCCCATTTTCTGCTTTTCCACCTTTCCATCCTGCAAAACTAGGACAGTGACTAACTATGCCTAACTTCTTTAGGGTCCTTGAAACAACACACCTGCCTCTAAAACTTCAAACCCCATGTATGTCCTTATCTCTGAAATTATTCTTGGTTTAATTTTTATTCCTTTGTTTGGTAAATGGGAGTTGCTTCCTTTCAAAGAGTGCTTGCCTATGTAGAAGCCATTTTCACGTCTGCATAGATACATTTATGGCTCTTTCCTTTAAGGGAGTGGGAGAACAGGAAGGCCAGTTAGAGAGTGGAGAGTGATAGCTTGCAGCTCGATCAAAGGTGCCAAAGATAGACTGCATTCTTCAGTTTGCTCAGGATTCTCCCTGTTCGGCAACACGTGGTGATTTCTTAAATCCACATGTATTAAAAAGTCCTATGGCATCTACTAGCACTCTTCAGGCAAGTCTATTTCATTTGGCTTTGACTTACAATGCTTCTCTCTTACTGGAAATGATTGTCCTTCTTGGCTAGGGAAATTTGGGATGTTTGGAGAGAAAGGTCTAGAGAAACCGATTAATTGATCTTGCTTGATCTACTCACAAAAAATTTAAGAAACTTCCTCTTGAGATCAAACATTAGACAAGAAGTTTCTCCCTGCAAATAGCAACTAGACCCAGAATTCCCAACCTTTTTGAAATAGTTTGGCCTCTTGAAATTTCCCCTTTCTACATAAAATGTTTTGTAGCATGAATTATCTATAGGTGTAAATACACAAGAGTTTTGTGTTGAGGTTCATTTTTTGAGATTTATTTTTTCTGGACTGACTTTTGAAATGTATTGGAATCATTATGGGATGCTGAGGATCATTGATTTACTCCAGATATTGTTGTAGCCCAAGATGTTCATCCCCCAAAGTCTGATTGGTGTGTGGGGGGGGGGTTGGGGGTGGGGATTATGCAGCCTTGTGTGATCTAGGAGCCAGGCTCTTTTGGAATGTAGCACCATTTCTTTGCCCTGCATCCTATGGAGTTTCATTTATATGAGAGGCCCATGGCAGGGCCCTAGGGTTCAGAGTGCTGTACAAACAACTATAGGACCTGAATGAATGCTTTATCTTTATGGCTGGGTCCATTTACCACCAGATGGCTTTATTGTATCATTAGGAAATGCACACATGTATAAAATTGGTGGGCTCCTAAACCAAAGGAAGAAAACAAAGCAGCAGTCCAAAAAAAAGGAAAGAAAGAAAAGAAAAAAATAGAAAAAAGGAAAAGAAAAGAATGAAAACAGCTCTTTCTTTTCATGGGGTAATTGGAAGCAGCTATAGGAGCCTGAGCATTCACAAGAGAACAGGACACACCCAAGATGGCTGGAGGAAGGTCATAATCCTAGCACGTATGAAGTCTCCCTTTTCAAGTTTTCACATTGCCGTGTAATTGTTAATTAATTGTCAAGATAGCCAGAGTTGTCAGGAAGTGCTCTAGTCTCAGCAGGGCCTGTAATTGATATTTCCATACCAATGGTGTATATACTCTTTTGCTTGGAGATGAGAAAGATCAACTACAGAAAACCGTGGAGAGGCCAAGTCTCCATATCTGCTGATTTCAGTCATCCTAGCCATATTCTGGGCAAGAATGATCTGATTCTAAACCCTGTGGTATCTTTGTTTTAATGACACTTGTGATAAGAAAGTGACGATCAGAGGAATCGAGCTTCTCTGAGTTCACATGGTTCTGTTCCTCGGGATAGGTGGATGCTAAAAATAGAGGCATTCGAGGTGACAGCTCTCACTAGGAATGTGAAATTCTGGTCTTGGCCTCTTGAAGGAAGGTTCTGTTTGTATCAAGAACAAAAAGCTGCAGATGAACCAAATTCCAGTGTGGGTAATTTTAGTCTAACTTTCTAAAGTCGTTCATTGTCATAATTTAATATGCATTTTTTACCCTCCCACTTAGACATTAAACTGTTAAGTCAGACTCTTGTTTTTATAACATTTCACTGTTTTATTACTGTGTTGAAGAAAAGGAGATGATGTGTATGACTTTATTAACCCTGTCCTTAATCCATAAAGTTGCTTAAGATACACTCAGGAAGCTATCCATATCAAAAAGTAATACTTGATTATTTTTTTAAAGAAAGAGTCCCTGGAAACCGGACAGATGGCATTTATTTTGGCTCAAGTCGAGGCCTTGGAGATTTGCCTGAAGGAAGCAGAAGAAAAGGCTAAATCCTTATCTGAACAGGTAATAACTGTCATTCAGACTGGAAATCTATGTTCTTCAAGTGTTCAGTAGAACAAGTGTAAATCTAAATACATGTTTTACAAAAACCAGAAACAGATCTATAAATACAGAGAGCAAACTGACGGTTCCCAGAAGAAAGGGGGTCAGGGGATGGGCAAAATGGGTGAAAGGAGTGGGAGGTAGAGGCTTCCAGTTATGGAACATTCGTTCCACGGGAATGAATGGGAATAAAAGCGGTCATGGGAATAAAAGGCACAGCACAGGGAATAAAGTCAATGGTATTGTATACACTTGCAGTGAGCGAAGCAAACCTATAGAGACTGTGAATCACTATGTTGTACACCTGAAACTAACATTTCGTGTCAACTAGACTCAAGGTAAATAAACAAACCAATCAATCAATCAATCAATCAATCAATCAATCTGTTTTGACCTCTGCACCTATTGATACACACAAACACAGAGGACTTCATTCATTTTAGATATAACAATAATTACTTTAATCTTTATGGACCTTTCCAGCCTTTAAAACTCCTTTTACGTTTCTATTTTGGTTTTCGTTCACTAGCCCATGAGTTAGGCAAGCCATCTTTAAGCCAGTGGCTCTCTTGAATCCGTGAAGCATATTTGCATTACACACAGATAAGCCCAAAGGTAAGATAAAACCTACAGGAACCACACAGGAGCAGTTTTCTCAGATTATTTGAGGAAATAAAGTTTTTTTCAAATACTGGCTTCCCTCTTGGGTTTTTGAAATTCACAGGGGCTATGGAGCCCAGCCTGTAAGTGGGTAGCATCGCACGCTCTAGAGGTGACCTGTGTCCACAGCAAATCTCCGCTTTCAGAGTCATTGACTGTGGTATCAGCAAAGCTCAGACCAGGGACTGGACCATTTTCCCAATATTACACTTTGCAAATAGCATAGTGCATATAGCTAATCCGAATGTTATTGTTGCCCTTCCCCATGGGGAGGGGGGCTTGGCCCCAGAGGGCAAAGCTGCCTAGAGTCTGGTGATCCACTTCTGGTGATCATCGGTGGAGGAAAAAGGACAGAAATGTTATAAACATTTATTGATTTATCATGAACTGGTACATTTTTGTTATATATTTTTAGAGACTTATGGAAAAACAATTTTAAGTTTTCTTTTCATAACAAGGTCTGTCTAGCAAAATCTGATTGCGTAAGAATTTTATAAGAATTTTTGTGGAAACTAGGGGAGATGTGCCTGTGTTACAAGAAAACGAAGTATAATTGACGTATAATGTGGTGACATCCGCAAATGGCCTCCATTTCTTTTACCAATTTACCAAAAAAGTGCATCTCTTACTTTGGGATGTGTTTACTATTTACTGACCAAGTGTGATCGATGAAAAACTTATGTCAATGAATGAAAGGGTGTTGCCCTAGGCCCAGACCCATTTGGAAAAGTTTCTTTGTTAGCCACATGCCCTAACCTTGGCTTACCAATTGGTCTTTCTTCTAAAACAAACAAAAACAAGCCTCAAACTGTAGCAAAATTATGAATTATGAAGATTATGCTGATGAACCAGAGCCTCCAAACCTGGGAGAAAGTTTGAATGGCTAACAGCAAGAAGGTACTCCTGCTTGTACTAGCTGCACTGAGAAGATATATGTGTATTTTGCAATTTAATGCTTTTTAATGATTTCTCATTTAAACCAGTAAAATTCGGTTCACTCATAAAAGTACTCATTCCTTTTGTTCTTTATAAAATATATATATATTTTAAAGATTTTAGTTGTTTATTTGAGAGAGAGCAGGAGTGGGGGTAGGGGTGCAGAGGGAGAGGGAGAAGGAGAAGCAGGCTCCCCGCTGAGCAGGAAGCCCGATGCTGGCTTGATCCCAGGACCCTGAGATCATGACCTGAGCCGAAGGCAGACGCTTAACTGACTGAGCCACCCAGGCACCCCTGAAATATTTTTATCCGGTACAACTAGCCCTTAATACTGAAGATTCTTAGCTCGAGGATCCTTTCTATAATATCAAACTATTAGTCCCATTTTTTTTTTAGTATTTAACAGTTTAAATATATAAAATAGAAACTGGATTTTACTCAACTTCTGTGTATCTACAATGAGTAAGATGCTAGTTAGGTGTTTGGGGAAGAAAGACATATAAGCAGGGCTTCTGTCCCCAGGTAGCTCACAACCAAAAGAATCACTGAAAGAGCTAGTGAGTGAAAACAGGTGTTTGTACGGCTCCAGATAAACTGCACAATAGCACTAAATTGCAGGGTCTATGTGTGTTATTTTCCTGAAGTATTGCTTTTGGAGTTGCCAAATTTGCCTAACTAAGTGAATTTAATTGGAAGTTGGTAATGGTTTGCAGAAAAGGAAAGGATGATATGTTAAAAAAAAAAAAAAGCACATTATAGGCATTTTGAACATTACATTTTTAATTGAGTACTTATTAGATTTGGCTGTCTCTACTGTTGTAGTTGAAAAGGTTAATCAGATAGAGACACTGTTCTCAGAGGAGTTAATCCTGAAAGTTTTGCTTCCTCCAGTATTGCAGTTTAGCCTTATTCTTGAAAAGATGCAAAGTATAAGAACAGTCCCTTCACCTCTGTTTTTAAATTCAGTAGACATTTTCCAAATGTGATGGCGGAAGAATAGGGAAAGGTAAGGGGGGGCAACTGACCTTTCTTAAGGCTAAGATAGGAGAATATTTCAGAATGGAACACCTGTGTCCAACAATCAAACATTTGTCCACTGGGTGCCACTGTCTTCCTTACCAGGCTATGCCACTAAGTGATGGCAAAAAGAGAAATTGTCACTAATATTCAAGACAATGATGTGTGTGTGTGTGCGCGTCTGTAGGAATCTCTCTGCCTGTATCCATGTATACATGTTAAAGCTTCTTTTAAATATCGCTAATTTAGGACTTGTCACAAGGACCGTGGGAAATGCTAGCTGGCGTTCACTGGTAATCCAAATCATTTTGTCAGCCCTGTGGCTGAATATTGGCCAGGTAGGCTGGCCTGGCGGGCTAGAAACAGGTGGGGGGAAGCAGAGGAGATGGTGAGGACAAAGATTTGTGCTGGAACCAAGGAGTGGAACATGGTATTGTCAACAGTCGATCCTGCTTTTGAGAAAAGAGTAAATTTCACCGTTAGCCAAATTGTTTCCTCCTGGCTTTGCCTTAGACTAGAACATAGAATTAACTCGGAATGGAAAGTATAGGGGTGCCGAAGGTTTCATCTGCACTAAGCACCTGTTGGTCCTGTGCCTCAGTTTATCTACACTGAACCTTTCTAAGGTCAGCAAGGTCCAGCAAGGTCTCTGTTGGTTTACTATGAAGAAGAAACCTACAAATAGTGAGGAAATAAGAAGATTGTGTCCACTTCCTCTATGACGTCACACAGTAAACAGAATTCTTGGTTGGTTTCCCTCTAGCTGACAATTTCTCTTTATTTCTCTGCAGTCATGTCTCTATTGTCAAGATAAAAGCAATGAGATAAGGATAATTTACAATTAAGATTTATAATCTGAGCTATTTATAGCTGTAAAAATTTTGCAGCAACTCACTTGGCCAGAGTGAGAAAGGGCCATGCGAATTAAACTCCTGTCCTAGGTAATACAGTAAATAACTCATCATTAGCAAGTTTTGCTAAAGAAAATACTTGATTATATTTCCAGCAGGTTGAGACCAGTGGGAGGAAATGCCTGGAAATTTGGTAGTAGATAAAGGACCAGGAGGGGCAGGTAGAAACAAAGGAAAAGTGTTAGGGGAGTAGAGAGAAAGCAGAGTAAAAATGTTTCTGGAGAAAATCATAAACAGTTTTTGCATGTGCGCTGGCTTCTGTCACCAGTGCAGACGGGACGGACGAAGAAAGGGGCTTCAGTAGGCTGCAGTTTGTGGCCATACCAAATAAATAGATCCCACAGCTTTTCTGCTGGGATCCCAATGCTTTTCGTGCTGAGAAAGTGTCAGGAAAACCCACAGTTTCCTACAATGGAGCGCAGACCCAGAGGTCACCCCAGTGCAGAGGGACTCGGCAGGGCGGCTCCTGAGACACTTCCTCTGGCCACGATTTTGGCCCATGTCTCTCTCATTCATCAGCAGCTTCTGGTTCCCAGCTCCTAGCAGCAGACCCAGGAGAGCTCAGGCTCCATTACTTGCTAGTTAATGACAGTGGGCAATTCGCATAATCTCTCCGAGGCTCAGGCAGCTGTCTTATCTAGAAGTGGGTTAGGGGCACCTGGGTGGCTCAGTTGGTTAAGTGTCCGACTCTTGATTTCAGCTCAGGTCATGATCTCAGGGTCGTGAGATGGAGCCCTGTGACTTCGGGCTCTGCGTTCAGCGGGGAGTCTGCTTGAGATCTCTCTCTCCCTCTGCCCCTCCCCCCTCAAATAAATAAATAAATCTAAAAAATATTAAAAGGGGGTAAACATACTGGTTTCATAGGCATTTGTGAAGTTTAATGAGAAGTGTATCTGGCTTTTAGTAGTACCTCAACAAGGGTTTATCTCTACTTTTAGTAGCCATAACAAAACTATATGGTTCTCTGCGTCATGTATCATGGACTAACGTGTGTGTGTGTGTATAAGGAGTTTCTCTTTTTTTGCTGGTATCTCTCAAAGTGTTTGAAAGACACTTAAGTTGTAACACAGCACTTCTTCAGATTCACGATCTTTGAGTCTTTCAAGCAGGACCCCAGCCAGGTCCCTTGTCCTAGCTTGGCTATTTGAGGGTCCGACTTTCTCATTCACTCTTTCCAAGCTATTCGTGTGGTAACGGGACCTGAGTACTTTCACCTTGTTCATCCTTTCTACTTCATCTCTTGGGTCTTCTGTTTCTACCCATTCTCTGATTTTGCTCAGAGTGGGAGCTGAATGGGCAGTGCTGGGATGTGGTCATTTCAGGATTTTATGGGGGAAACTGGGGAGTCAGGGAAATCTGTGATCATTCCTTCACCAAGGAGGTGAATCCACTGATGATTCTGTAGTCAGAATTAGCTTCAGGTACCTTACGGATATT